GCCCCCCCCCCCCCCCGTCCTCCCCGTCTCTCCTTCTTGTAGAGCAGCAGGGCCAGCAGGCAGCCAGTGAGGGCCACCAGCAGCAGGCTGAGGATGGCCCCGACCGCCTGGCTCCTCTCCGACAGCCCCTTGTACGCCTGCCCATCGCCCGCAGCACTGTCGCCGTCGAAGCTCATCCTGGAGACAGGACGAGAAAAGAAGTCCCGTCACCGGCCGTACTGCCCCCAGCATCGGCCCGAGACTTCCCAGCCCAGGGAGAGGCTCCAACCTAACAAGTCCCACAATTCTGACTCCAGCCAAGGAAACGAGCCCCGCCTGAGACAGACAGGGCAACGAGACGCTGTTCTGAAAACAAGTTTCGGCAGGGGTAAGAGGAACGGCCGAAGGACTCCGCACCAAGCTCCGCGGGCCATGCTGACATGCAGTGAGAAGGGCAGAGCCGCCCCACTCCTGCTTACCCACTGTGGACTCTCAGGACAGGGCAAACGGGGTCCTGAAGCACAAGCCTGGAGACGCAGCTGGCCACACACATACCCTAGTACCAAAGCTGTCCCCTCTGAACCGACTCCGGAAGAAACTGATCCCGGCCCAGGGTCAGTCTCCCCTCCTGACACCTTCTGGGGATCCAGCCCAACACTGAGGCCCCACCCCGGCCACTCCGGCCTGGAGGCCGATGGCCATCAGTTGCCCTCCCTGGGGACGGGGTCATCCAAACACACACCAGCGATTCCGCCATTCCCAGCCGGGCACTGCAGTTAAGGTCAGTAGCCCAGTGGCTAAGGGAGCCAGATAGGAATATGGCCAACGGTGTGGTTCAAATCTCAGCCCCAGTGGCTTGAAAAACACGCTGGGTACATGAGTGTGTCTGCCCCAAATCCCAACGGATGGAGAAACGGAGAAGGGACTGTGGCATAAGAGGTGCTTTCTCCCTTCCTCCCTACCACTCTCCGCCCCATTTCTTAGAAATGCACACACTCCTTGGTACATTTTCTTTTTAAAGAAAAAATAAAAAAGGCAGTATACCCCCTCAGCATAACACCTTCAGGAAAGTCCCACAGAAACAGTCACGTGAGATGAGAGCCAGCTGGGCCAGCTTCCTTTTCCGCTCGGGGAACGGCGTGTGTAATGATGACCTGAAGCTTCGAACCTTTCTGTCATTAGGGCCACCAGACACACCACACGAGAGCCATACAACAGGACTTCCTCCCACCCAGAGAAGGCGGAGGGCAGCGGGGAGAAATAGCGGGACTGCTCCAGAGACGCGACCTCATCTTGGGGCTGCGGGCCATAGCCACATGATGAAATCTGTCACTCAAGACACTGGCAACCCCCCCAGGGAAAAAATCACAAGTCTGTGCCTAAAATAATCCAAATACTTGATCAGAGGACAACCATTCAATAAACTGGCCCCATAAGGGCAACTGTCAAAAAGTTCAGCTTGGGACCAGCAGTTAGCATAATGGCTCTGTTGCTGGATTCCCATGTAGTCGACCGCGGTTCGAGTCCTGGACCCAGTGGCTTAAAACTCACGCTGGGTGTGTGTGTGTGTGCGTGCCCAAGATCCCGAGAGGAGAATGGAGGAGAAGGGATTGCGGTGTGGCCATCCCCCCTGGGGGGGTGATTTCTCACTTTCTGTCTGTCTCTCCGTCTCTCTCTGTCTGGTGGAAAGATACATGACAACAGGAAGGGCCAGAGGTCAGGGCTCCCACACGCTCTGCTCAGTGGAGGCGTCCCCACCGTAATCACCATAACCGTTGCCGGAGAACTCCATAGCATGCCCTCCAAGCCAGCACCGGGCCCGCT